CGTCTTAGAATTTAATAAGGACTCTGAATAATATATTTTTTCTTTATGTTTGTATTTTATCAGTTGACAATACATACATACATTTTAATATTTTAATTATTTACGGTCTAGAGTATCAATGTACATTAGACTGGGCCATTTTGTAATGGGTTGGTTATCTGAAAAACCTTTGTATATTTTTGAAAAATATTTCAATTTTATATACATATGTAATTAAAAGCTTCTCCATGCCGCCAGCCTTTAGCCAAAAATAAGACACAATCAAACATACAATACATTTTTAAGTGCAGGAAAAATAAGTTGAATTTTTAGAATAATGTAATAAATATGTACATAAATATCTATGTATGCAAATGCTATATTTTTCACAATTTTAATTAAAGCAATAAAATTTTAATTAAATAATAACATATATATACATATGTAGATATTTTTAGAATAAAATTTAATGTTTATTTTAAAATCTATTTATTTCATGTCATTTACAATTGTAATTGCCAATTATAAAATAATGAAAAAATTGACATTTGTTTTGGACATCAAAATGAACGATTAAAATTTGGCGTATGATGACTTTTTAATTAAATATTTCACAATTTTTTTTTTACCAAAAATTATGTCATTATTTTATGGTTTTTATTGTTATTGATTGTTTATTAAATATAAATTAAAAACTAATCATATATGTATATGAAAGAAAATAATATTTCAACAACATGTACAAATGTTTAAATTGTTAGAGAGAAAGATGAAAACATATCCCAGCGAACTTTTTTCGCATACATACATCTTTCAACTAATACCAGAAATGGTCTAGCACGATCGGTGTAATCGTACAAACGATTTTATGTTTTTAAATGGAGTTAGAAAGATGAGGCTACATGAGTTGTTGTTTTCCAAATTTGGCGAAGTTTTTACACAGTAGTACTTCTAATTATCCTTGGCTGCAAATTTACATGGATTGACTGACAGTTATAATCGACACAGAAATTTATTCTATGCCAATTTGTGTTGTATTTGTGCGATACAAATAACAGCACAAGCGTGTGAGGTATAAAAAATATTATTAGTTTGATAATTGTAACATTTATTAAAATTGAAATAGTGATATAATCATATAAATACTAACATATGTATGTCTCAATTCATATTTACCACACACTTTACAAAAAATCTTCAATTTTGTCTACTTAAATCGATAAATATTTTATGATCTAGAATTACTACTACAAAAAAATCATTCGATTTTCCAACAAAACCATATAATATTATATTACTAATATAATTTAATTTAATGATACGACGTGTAATTGACGCAATACGATAAATGTTTATCATAAAAAAAATGTTTTTGTCAAAACCATGCATAAACTGAAGTACGTACTTTTATGTGTTTGTGTAATAAAATACAATACTTAAATGTAAAATATTGACAAAAACAAGTTAGAGTGCTATATTCGGCTGAGCCGAATCTTAAATATCCTCCACCAGCTACTTTTATATTAATACTTTTTTAATTGATCAAATATTTGTAGAAATAAGTTTTCTCATGTCTTAAATAGAAAAACCCCAAGATTTAAACAGCTAAAATCTGTTACAATTCCAATATTAGAGACTCCATTTTCTTTTATATTTTTATAGCGCCCTAAAATATGCTTTAGCAATATTTAATAATTTGCATGTGCGTAAAAAATATATATAATATTGTTCTACACAAATTGATAATGCAACTAGTTAAATACGGTTAAAGTGATTTTCGGGACAGGACCTAGTATGGGAAATATGACCAATTATAGACCGATCGTAAAAAATTCTTTAAGTATCGCACCCATACTATGAACCGATCGTAAAAAAAATCTTGAAATAGAAGTTTTGTATATAAAATTAATATTTGTGCCAAATTTTGTATCAATATAGCTTTATTTATTAATGAGTAATATGCGTTTAAAAGATTTTCGTAAGAGGACCTTGTATGGGCGCTATGACCAATTATGGACCGATCGGAATATTTGTGTATATAGGAACAATACTTGTACCAATATAAAAATATGGATATCTTAATTTAGTGATGAATTATGTGCGTTTAAGTGATTTATGGACCGATGCAAAAAATTTTTTCTTTGTATGAATTCTATTGATATAAGATTTTAATTTGTGAAATTTTGTGAAGATATGGACATTGAAACGGAAGTTATTAACAAAAAACCATTTTCCGGGAATATGTACTTTTGTATGGGAGGTATATGAAATTGTGGACGGATTCTAGCAATTTTCAGCAGGTATCAAGGTCTTGTGTAGAAACGGATGTACGGTGATTTTCATGGAATTATCTTGCATAGTTTTCGAGAAAATTACATCAGAATGTGTAAAAAACGCTTATTTTTTTCGAGGTTGTTTTAAATTTTGATTCATAGCTTTTCCCGGTGTGAACCGATTTTGCCCATTTTCAATACCAAACAACTTAGGAAAATGAAGAACATTTTGGGTGAATTTGGTTAAACTTTATTACTTCGTTTTATCGTGAGCGTGTTTTGCACCTACAGACGGACATACGGACATAGCTAAATCGACTCAGAATTTGATAAGGACCCAGAATATATATACTTTGTTGGGTCTCAGATGAATATTTCTTGGTGTTATACACGGAATGACAAGGTTATATATACCCTCTATCACCACTGATGGTAGTGGAATTTATAACAAGTGAGAATGTATAGTATGTCATGGCCGACCGTATGCTATCCTACAACAGTGTGTATGTTAAAAAATAGGATTATTTTTATAGTTTATACCTTAATTCCGAAATATTTTGGGGGCTAGATTCAAATGAATCCCGATTTTTACGAAAACCGACAGTATTATTTTGACTTATATTAAACAAAGTTTTGCTGATTTTTGCAGAGATACTGGAACATTTAATATAATAATGGGCTTAAAATCTCTATTTTGGAGGTACGGTTGTTTGGGGGCTAAGTGAAAAAATGACTAGATTTTAACCATTTTCAATAGGCTCCGTCCTTGGATCAAAGGAAACTTTTGTGCCAAAATTTTATCAAATTATCTTAAAAATTGCGACCTGTTGATTACAAGGTTTACATGGTTGGACGGACGGGCGGTCAGATGGATAGACGGACGGACATAGCTAAATCGATTCAGAAAATTATTATAATCCTATTGGTATACCTTTAGGTGGGTATAGATTCAATATTTTTATGCATAACATACATCAGCACAAACCCAATATTCCCTTCCCAATAAAGTGGTGTAGGTTCAGGACACGATATCTCAAATCCCAGATGTGTTGGAGAAAATCAGATTAGTATTCAGCACAGCTTCAGAAAAGTATAACTTGGTCTCAGGGTTTCGATTTACGGACAGTTTCGTTAAAACAAATAAGAAAATTGTTATTTGTCTCTTAGTATAACCTATGATAGGTACTAATATTGGCATAAACGAATCATATCCTATTTCCTTTAGTAGTGTGCTGTGTAAGAACACTAAAATTTAGCGTGACAAACAAATCGTAGTAGATTTTTTATTATTATTGACATAAGAGTTTGAATACGAAATGAATGAGTTATTGATTTTCAAATATTGAAGAACACATTTTTTATTTAACGTATTTTTTCGGTTTTTTTAGACAAACATGTAAAATTTTTTAGACATTGGCAAATATTTATATATTAAGATTTTTCATGTTCCATTAAAGAAGAAATACAATAAAAATAACTTTTAAGTACAATTAAATATTTATGTTCAGTGTAGATATATATGTATGTAAACTTGTACAATAGTGAAAATTGTTTTTCATGGTTAATTATTACATTTAGCTTCTGTACGGTAAACACTTTCTTGAATACAAATTATTGTAATTGTAAAAATATATATATGTATGTATGTATATATTTATGTGTAAATAAATATTCTTGTTTGAATGTGTTTAATTAGTCACTATGGAAATGTTCTCATGTTTACAAGTTAATTTACACATCATCAAATACAAATGTGTTTAATTAAGAATATAATATTATTTCGAAGGTTAATAGTTATTGAAGCAAAAAAGTATTTTATTTCACTTGAATAAAAGGCACAAAAAAAAGAAACATTTTTTCCGGAATATGCTTTAAATTGATTTAATATGAATCGTAATGGTTGATTGAAATTATGTAATTGTTTAACTACGTGTAATAATTTGTGTTTAAGTTCACTCCACTTAATGATGTTTATGCATCCGACGGATATTATAGACTTATAGAAAAAAGGAAATATTCAATATTTGGAAACGTAGATTTCATCAGTTTTTAAATCAACACTCTCTTCCCATGATGTTTATGCATCCGACGGATATTATAGACTTATAGAAAAAAAGAAATATTCAATATTTGGAAACGTAGATTTCATCAGTTTTTAAATCAACACTCTCTTCCCGTGATTTGGGTTCAACCATAACTATCCGAAAGAAACTCTCTAATGCCCTGCGGGCCACCGATTCTCGAGATATCACTTAGGTAAGGTTCTCTAGTCAGATCAGATGTCAAATGACACTGGTAGGAAAGGGCAGGTCACCAATTTTGTGACCCTATAAAGTGTATATATTTTGAATTCTTATTGATAGTGAAGCCGATTTATCGATGTCCGTCTGTCCAGATTAAGTTATGTCTGAGCCTGAGTCAATTAAGTCATGTCCGTCCGTCTTTCTATATAAAACTTGTAGTAAGTTTAAAAAAAAGTATCATGAAATGGTAAAAATTCATAGGGATTTATGTTACTTTTACCTTTTTGGTACCTTCTGCTTCACCTTTGTAAGAATCTAAAAGAAATGACCCGACAGAACCCACCGGTTAAAGAATATTAATTGTATGTACAATTTTATCTAAATTATTCGCTACTAATATTAAGAAGTTTAAATTTCATATATCTTGTTCGTTCTTTAACATTCTTCTTTTGTTTTCATAAAACAAAATGGCAAAACATTTTATATGAACAATAGTATAACTTACCTCAAACTTTTGAAACCCAAGCTCAATATCGTATGCATCCAATTGTTCACTATAACGCCTTCTATACCGGATGCCATCCGTATTGTTGTTAGTGCCGCTGCTAACATTCGTCGTACCATTTGCAGCAGCCACCAGTGTGGACACCGATGTTTCCGTCGTGCCATTATCATTTGTATTAGTAACATAAATGCGGCCATCCGAAGCCATACCACTACCACTGCCATTATATTCATTGTTATCGCTACGCGTTTGCATGCGAATACAAATGCCATCGGAGTCCAATTCATCATCGGTATCTGTTGTACAATCGGTACCATACGAACCGGCATGATGGCGATTGTTATGGTGTGGATGATGATGATGGAGGTGCTGTGTATGATTGTGATGATGATTTTTATCACGATCACGTTGACCGCGAGATTTTTGTAAAACCGTTTGTCTACAACGTGTACCACAAGCAATGGCTGATATTTTACTAGCATAATAGTACATAGCCATGTGTCACGTTTTGGTTAAAATACTCGCACTTTTATGGTACATTTGGATGTCAAGAACTAGGTAAAATTCGATTTAGATGCCAAAAAACACTAAATGCAAAATAAATTGAAAAAAAAGGTGAAGGACAACCAAAAAAGGTACCGAAACGAACGTTAGATTTTTTACTTTACAATTGTAGAATTCTTAAAATCATTTTTGATTTTTTTAGGGGGGAGTTTTATTGTAGGTTGGTACGCTTGTTGCAAGTTAGCAACAATTTCACTTTAATATCATGGTATTTGTTGTTTTGGATTTTCACTAACGAATTACTTTGGTTTCGTTGATTGTTGGTTTGGTAGTCAAATTTTATTTCAAAACTTTTATGGTATACAGACATACACACTCATGCCTTGGTCTAAACTTTAAGCACGTTTGCGTTTCCGTTACGTTAACTATGTGTTATACAAAGATGTTTATATAGTACATACATATTTTGTTGGTTTGGTTTCGTGGTGTTAGTTGTTAGACGTTAGATAAAATTTTGTTTTACTTGTTTTTATTTGTGTAATTTCAGATTACAAATCGTTATATGACAGCACGTAGTTTACTTGAATTCTCATCACTATTTCATGAGACACGTAATCGAATGTCAATTAAATATACCACGTTCTTAAATTATGATAATGTTGTCTGATTTTTATTTTATCTTATAATTTTGCATGAAACTGTAAAACTGAACATGAAAAAAATTAAATTTGAGCAATTCTGAAAGAGTCTTAAGTTATTTTCTATCATCATTTTCAACAAGTATAGTTTTACAAATTTTAATTTTCTTGTTTATTGATTTTCCTAGTTCTGTTTAAAATATTATTACTTTTCATTTTTATTCACTATCATTGGATTTTTTTTTAATATAAAAGAAAATTTCTTTTGCAGATTTGTATGTTGTGTCATAAAATATTTTCGTTTGATTATTTTAATAATAGTAAAAGGTTTTCTTTGTATTTTTATTTCAATTTTTTCTTTTCCTTTGAATGAAAGTTGGTGACATTTGATCATTTAATGTAATATTGCATCTGAAATAATAAGAGAGAAAAAAGTATATTAAAATTTTTTTATGTAAATAAATTTATGTGTTGTATATGATTTTGTAAGTATAGTAAGTATAAATAATTTATTTTTTTACAATCTACCCATTTAAGAATAATAAGTAAATTTGTTACAATATACAATAAATAAAATGATTTCTTTAATTCTAATAAAATTGCTAAATTCTAATTCTAATAAAAATCAGTGAAAATGCTGTCTCTTACACAATCAAAAGTGTTTATAGGGTCATACACCTACGTAAGTGAGTTAGTTAGTTAGTTAGTTAGTTAGTTAGTTAGTTAGTTAGTTAGTGAGTTAGTTAGTTAGTTAGTTAGTTAGTTAGTTAGTTAGTTAGTTAGTTAGTTAGTAGGTAGTTAGTTAGTTAGTTAGTTAGTTAGTTAGTTAGTTAGTAGTTAGTTAGTTAGTTAGTTAGTTAGTTAGTTAGTTAGTTAGTTAGTTAGTTAGTTAGTTAGTTAGTTAGTTAGTTAGTTAGTTAGTTAGTTAGTTAGTTAGTTAGTTAGTTAGTTAGTTAGTTAGTTAGTTAGTTAGTTAGTTAGTTAGTTAGTTAGTTAGTAGTTAGTTAGTTAGTTAGTTAGTAGTTAGTTAGTTAGTTAGTTAGTTAGTTAGTTAGTTAGTTAGGTAGTTAGTTAGTTAGTTTAGTTAGTTAGTTAGTTAGTTAGTTAGTTAGTTAGTTAGTTAGTTAGTTAGTTAGTTAGTTAGTTAGTTAGTTAGTTAGTAGTTAGTTAGTTAGTTAGTAGTTAGTTAGTTAGTTAGTTAGTTAGTTAGTTAGTTAGTTAGTTAGTTAGTTAGTTAGTTAGTTAGTTAGTTAGTTAGTTAGTTAGTTAGTTAGTAGTTAGTTAGTTAGTTAGTTAGTTAGTTAGTAGTTAGTTAGTTAGTTAGTTAGTTAGTTAGTTAGTAGTTAGTTAGTTAGTTAGTTAGTTAGTTAGTTAGTTAGTTAGTTAGTTAGTAGTTAGTTAGTTAGTTAGTTAGTTAGTTAGTTAGTTAGTTAGTTAGTTAGTTAGTTAGTTAGTTAGTTAGTTATTAGTTAGTTAGTAGTTAGTTAGTTAGTTAGTTAGTTAGTTAGTTAGTAGTTAGTTAGTTAGTTAGTTAGTTAGTTAGTTAGTTAGTAGTTAGTTAGTTAGTTAGTTAGTTAGTTAGTTAGTAGTTAGTTAGTTAGTTAGTCTAGTTAGTTAGTTAGTTAGTTAGTTAGTTAGTTAGTTAGTTAGTTAGTTAGTTAGTTAGTTAGTAGTTAGTTAGTTAGTTAGTTAGTTAGTTAGTTAGTTAGTTAGTTAGTTAGTTAGTTAGTTAGTTAGTTAGTTAGTTAGTTAGTTAGGTAGTTAGTTAGTTAGTTAGTTAGTTAGTTAGTTAGTTAGTTCGTTAGTAGTTAGTTAGTAGTTAGTTAGTAGTTAGTTAGTTAGTTAGTAGTTAGTAGTTAGTTAGTTAGTTAGTTAGTTAGTTAGTTAGTTTAGTTAGTTAGTTAGTTAGTAGTTAGTTAGTTAGTTAGTTAGTTAGTTAGTGGTAGTTAGTTAGTTAGTAGTAGTTAGTTAGTTAGTTAGTTAGTAGTTAGTTAGTTAGTTAGTTAGTTAGTTAGTTAGTTAGTTAGTTAGTTAGTTAGTTAGTTAGTTAGTTAGTAGTTAGTTAGTTAGTTAGTTAGTAGTTAGGTAGTTAGTTAGTTAGTTAGTTAGTAGTTAGTTAGTTAGTTAGTTAGTTACGAAGAGGTATATCATACATCAAACTCCTAGACCTTAATCGGTACTATTGTGCTCTGTTTTACCAGTATCCAGTATACCAGCCTAGAACACGAACGACTACTACACTACACCGCAATGCATACACCTACCTTACCACTGCCAATCGGCTGAAAATAACTTCTTATGTAAGTCCACTTAGCTTATTTTACCTTGATCCCATACAACTTTGTCGACTTCATATCATGAACGTCCATAATTATCTTATTATCAATAGTGCCACGATTGAACGCGACGTACATGTATTTTGAATAAATGTTACTCCATCCAATTTCAACCAATTTTAGAAAATGTTTTATTATAAATAATAAATGAATTTTAAATATATCAACAATGTTGTAGGGTATCATATGGCGGCTATTTTTGACTGCAATTTTTTCCTTGTTTACTTAATTTTACACAAAATTTAAACGGAAATAAACTTTTAACTAAACTAAATTAAATTAAATAAAAAATTGTAAGATTTGTCACATCATTCTTTATTGTTAACACTCAAACCCTAAAAAGCAAAATCATTAATTGTGAAATATTTTTTAGGCTTTGAACATTAAATTTCGGTTTTATACACATTAACAACTTTTATAATGTTTGACAAAATTTTTCTCATTTAACAACTATCTGTGATAAGCAAAATATAACAGCAAACACTTTGACAAAACTTTTGCTAAACTGCTTAAGGAAAACTAGCAAAAGCAGCCTTTAGAAACATTGAATATTTGCATAAAAGTAACTAAATAAACTTTTTTCACAAAACATATCCTTTTTTTTTTTTGAAAATTACGTGAATGTCAGTCACGCAAACTTTATAAAATGATTTCAAATTTTTATGCATGACAAAGTGCGAAGCAAGTTTTTCATCTTTCAACTTTTTCGCAGAAAAATAAGTGTAAAAGTATCATTATTTATTGTGACTTGAAATTTTTCTGTAGAGAATAACGACATAAGGAAATAAATATTTATGTAAGAAAAATTTTCAAACTTATTTATATATAACTTAATATAAAAAAAAAAAAAATTGTGTGTGGGTTTCTAATGTAAATATTGTATGTATGTATACATATTTATGTTTATATGATTTACATAATATTTGTTACACTTATAAATTTCAAAATCTAAATTTTTGTTCACTTCAAGTTGTTAGTTTTTTTTTTTCTCAAAAAATGTCATTATACACTTAAACATGCCTTCGGCTTTTTTTTTGAAGGGTGAAAACTTAACAACACATGTTGATAATAGTATCTATAAGATGAAGGAAATTTATAGAAAAGTTGCTTTTAATATCTATATGTACATACATATATACATATTTATTTAGGTACAGGGTACACACATACTTATATAATATTTATGAACATTAGGTTGACTCTCAGGAAATTATATAGTTCTCCAATACACATACCTCGTTTGGTTTCCCAAAAAATTTAAGATTTTTCGTATGAGTCATATGAACACCAGGATGATTTTTGGAATATAGTGTTTAATGAGGGCTTAAGTTAAACTGATTTTCTGTAAATATCATACAATTTTTGATGGTGCGTATAAAAAGAATGAACATTTGCTTTATTATATGATGATTTATAAAATATCTTGCTTTCCATACAGAATGAGCCGATCTAATGTATATAACTATATGTGTTACATATGTATATGAACATATTTTATGTTTTTATTCCTTCCATAACCAGCTGTGGTGATAATGTGTATACATACATACAAATGCATATAAATTTGTCATTCACTGTGTAACTTAAAGTATTAATCTAACACCCAAAAAATGATATATAGCCTTGGTAATTAATATGTGTAGAATTTTGAATAGTTTGTAAATTGCATAAAAATTAGAAGTGGTATATTATATGATTTCCGATCAATCAATTAGTCAAAATTTTTTCCCCAAAATAAATTTACTTTCAATTTAAGCTAAGAGGAAACTATGAAGAAACTATGAAGAGTATATTAAATTCGTATTATTCAACTTGAAAATTCTAACATGCTGTGCTTTAAAATTTGCATAAGACCACACAAGGAGAGATTGATTGTTAACACAATTTAAGTATAAAATATTCACCACAAAAATTTAAACGTAAAAAAGTATGAAGGATAGGAAAAAGTAAAAACTGTCAAACACAATACAAACAATATTCATACACAACTTTTCCGTAGACTGCAAATTTGTGAAGGTAACAGCTGATGCTGTTGATGTAGAATATGTAAAATCAGACTACACATACATATATATGTATCTAAAAATACTTATTAATAATTTTAAAAATTACATACTATATGTATATGTATTAGGGTGTCACTAATTTTTCGGTAATGGACTTTTATGCTCATTCATACTAAACATTTTCGTAATGACTTTAAATATCACCAAGAAGAATTTTAGCTCATTCTAAGAATAGCAACTCATGCCGACTTGAGATTGAAACCAGTCTTACTAAGTAATATAAATTTTCAATATTGTTAAGGCTTAGTTTAGTAAATGTAAAACTCTTAAATTATTATTTATTATTTAAATCAAAAATAATCAAAAAAAAAAAAAAAAAAAACAAATAATAATAATAATAATAATAATAATAATAATAATAATAATAATAATAATAATAATAATAATAATAATAATAATAATAATAATAATAATAATAATAATATAATAAATAAACTAAAAAATAACAGACAGAGAGAGATTAAAGGCTTTTGTTGAATTTTTCTAAAGCCAATAAAAATATTGTTAAATTTTGCCACCCAAAAACAAATGATTAACTTTCAATATTGAAAATAACACAAATTTTTTTGCCGGTCTACTCTAATATAAGTCTTACCACAATTTCTAT